TCAAAATACTTACAAGAGAGTTATTTACAATCAAACAGTATGCATGTAGGCACATTCCAAAACTAAGTACACACTTTTCAATCGTTATAATCTCTCTTCCCATTAGGTCTTTTCTCGCCGTTCAAGTAGCATTCTGTAGAGAAGGTTTCACTTAGATATACAGTATTGAGTTATCACCGTTCGCTCTTCATTACTGTAGGATTACTGTGAGAACTTTGACGAGGAGTTCACGCCATTGGAGGCCACATTTTGCCTCGGAACAAAATCAAACAAGCCAAAAACTCTTATACCGTGATAATGGAAGCCTCTGATTGTGATGCTTCTTTTCTGAGTTATCCAGGTTAATCGTAATAACCGGGTTCCCAGCACTTGTCGGAAATGTAATTACACTGTCAGTAAAGCTGAAAACACTCATAAAAAGTCATGTTGTGGAATCGGCGTGTGCGAAAACCTTAGTACAGGATTTTTCAGATTTAAGTTTTGTCAGATGGCATATTCCGCAATGGTTCCACATGTTGGAAGTTCTTAACGTAATCCTACAGTAACGAAAAGCGATTGGTATTCTCTCAATACAATCTAAGTTAAAGTCTCCTCTACAGAATGGTACTTGACTGGCCAAAAAAGACTCGTTGGGAAGAGAGATAATGACGATTGAAGAATTCGTGTATTTACTTTTGAGAAACCCTGTATATCAGTGGCGGACCGAGGGGGCGGGCGGTGGGGTTCCCCGCCCGAGAATGGGTAGCGAAATTTTTGCAATTCACCTATATGGGTTATAAAAATGTGGAAACAACTTATTTATTTTTGTAAATAATTAAAATAAATTTTAAAAATTTTTTAAAAATTCAAATTAGCCTTACAAAAAAATTTTTTCGGGAGCGTGGCTGACGCCACGCCTTCTTTTTTCAGATTTTAGGGGTTGGGGACCCGCAAAAATTTTGAGAAGTACCCCAAAAAATTTTTCCTTTATTTGAAAAAAATTTTGCCTTCCCCCCCCCCCCTGGCCCGAAATCCTGGGAATTTTTGGAAACTACTTGCTTTTCGCTTTCTGATAAGATTTGAATTGCGCAAAAACATTGTGAGGGAAAGAAGTTATGATTTTTTGAAAATGGTGCGACAGAGCTTTTGGTTCAACCTAATACAGAGTGTCCCAAAAAGATGTGCACACTGTTTGATCGTCAATAACTCTCTTTCTTTCATGTCTTTCCAAGCTTGAAGTACCATTCTGTAGAGCGAGGTCTAATTTAGATTTACAGTAGGGCGCGAATTACCATTCGTTCTTCATTGCTGTAGAATTGTTCTGAACTTTCAGCATACAGCGTCACTGTGGAATAGGCTTTTTGAAGAAATAATTTTTAAAAACCTGAAAATTTGTTTGGCAAGGTTTTCAAGCGTGCTGATTTCACTACATGAGTTTTCATGAGTTTTTCGAGCTTTCTTGATGCAAGAACTTTTGGGACAATTTGATATACATACAGGGTGTCCCAAAAGTATGTATTCACTGTTTGATCGTTAATATCTCTCTTCCCAAGAAGTTTTTTGTCTATCTTCGGGCACCATTTTGTAGAGCTGGCTTCAACTTAGATTTTCAGTATAGAACGAATTACCGACCGCTCTTCCTTACTGCAGGATTACGGTAGGAACTTGAAACATTGGAATGTGGAAAAAGCTCCATTTCAAAATTTTTCCAAAAAATTGTGAAAACTTGTATAATAGGGTTTTTATGGACCCTGAGTTCAATACTTAATTATTGGGTGTAACCGCACTTTTTAGGAACATTGAAAAAATGGCCGCTACTGCTTACCTGGCATAACTCTTCAATGAAGCATCATAATAAGTTGGGCACTTTACAATCAAAATCAGCAAGTCTAATTAGCCTAGTGTAAAAGTTTTTAGGCTGTTTTTTTCTTTTCCGAGGCAAAATATGGCCTTTCATGGCTTAAAACCTCTTTGAAGTTTCTACCATAATCCTACAGTAATGAAAGATGACCGAAGATCGCTCCATACTGAAAATCTAAGTTGAAGCCAGCTCTACAAAATGGTGCCCGAAGATAGACAAAAAACTTCTTGGGAAGAGAGATATTAACGATCAAACAGTGCATATATACTTTTGAGACACCCTGTATACTAGCTGGCTTACCCGGCTCCGCTCGGCCCTGTCAAAACACTGTGATAAAGCTCTCATCCTTATTCCCATACAACCTTTCTCTGTGCCCACGTCTACATGCTAAATCACTATTCCCGCTGTTTTAATAATCAGCATGCTCCATTACTCCCTGTGCCAACTCCCAGTTCCGAGCCCAAACTTTGCAAAAAATCGATAAAATCGAAAGTAAAATTTCAAAAACTAATATCGTTTCCGTAATCATGCTCGATTACCCCCCCCCCCCTGGGCCAAATCCCAGCCCCGTAGGTGAACTCTGCAAACAATCGATAAAATTGATATCGATCGATGAAGAAAAGTAGCCTATGACACCTGCCCGGCTTCGAAGTGAATGTGTGCAAAGTTCGGTCCGAATTTTCAGATTCAAAAATGGAATTTTCTATTTGAAACATACGTACAGACAATCAGACAGACGAACATACAGACATGCAGACAAACAGACAATGAGGTTTACATATAAGATACCACTGTGTCAACTCTTCTTCGCAAAGGCTCGTAATCCTACTCCATATGCATTACTCATTCTCGCCTAACGATGGCTGCGAAACTCCCCGCGCAATGCTGACTATCACGAACAAAATGTAAACGACTAGTCATTCTAATTTTTTATGTGAGAATGGTGATTTCGCGGTGATACAACTTTCTCAGGAGAACAAATGCAAATTTGAATAGGTTTCTAAACTTATTTTGGCTTGGTAGTCGCCGTAAGCTCAGATAATCGCCGAGGACAAGCGGTCCGCAAATTCGCGCTTTTCTGCGGAGGTCAGCAAAATTTTGGGGCGTCGCCATACCTTCAGCGGGCGGCACTTCCTTTACGGTCGCATATTTTGCCAGCGGACAGCAGTACTGCATTTTTTGCAAGCGCTTGGCAAATAGATTCTTCCAGCGGGCGCTGGCCAAACTTTCAGCAAGCGCTCGGACTCTTTTTACGCAGTTTGGGTGTACGCCGAGAAAAGGTGAGACTCTATGTGGCAGAGGTGTCATTGATGATCTGAATTACTCAAGTTTGGAGTACCTTCTTTTTACGGAAGGTACCCCTGGGCAGTGCGGTCCTTCACAAAGGAAGGTGCGGCCTCCAACAAGTTTGCATTTTCCCGCGGAAGGCCCGCGAGAATGCGGTCACTGGGCCGCACTTATCCACGGAAAGACCGCGATAGTTCTCCGAGTGTTCGTCTAAAAATTGGCCAAAATTTCCAAATTTCTGCAAGCGGCCGCAGGAAATCAACGAACTGTTTTTCCGGTGCCCGCTTGCTCAAGATTTGCATGGCCGCCTGCCCCCCGCGATTATCTGAGAGGATATTCATTACCGTGAGCTACATCTCTTTGCACAAATCTTCTCAAAAGCTCAGGTGAAACCACGGCGAATTGATCATTTACGTAACCATTTCTTTTTGGCGCCGTTTTCGTAAAATAGTAGATCTTTGGTCACTTTTTGGTCTTAAGATGGCTTGCATATCACCATGCCGAACACATCCACGACATTTCAAAAGCGTTGATACGGACTCAATTTTGACCCAAATCAAGTGGATCCGTTGACGCGCAAATGCTGAGGGAACCACTCAACAGATCCGCTCGTGTTTTTGCAGGGTGGAGCTCTACGCTGGTAACGTGCGCTTTGCAAAATCTGGGCTCAGGACGTTGGCTGGAATTTGCTCTATCAATTTCGTTACGAACAGGACACAGACACACGCACAAAAACACGTAAACAATCTTAGCCTGGTCCAATAAGTTACGATATAGATTCATCGTACAAATCAAAAGCACATTTTTGCAAGAACCTCGGTATCTTATAAAAGTCTATGGTTGAACATAATATCTTTCGCAAAGCGCGATATTTTCTCACAAAAATGGTGAATTTGGGTTATGTTAAAGTTAAATCCTGCTCGATTACGAAAAGGTATTGCCTCTTTTTAATATACAAAGTGCCCCGTGTACTTACTAATTGTTCGTTTATCACTCTTGTGTCCTGAAATCTTTCGAGAAACTTTAGATACCATTTTTAGAGTTGTCAGCTTAAATTCACAATACGGACCTAATCACCATTCTCTCCTCGATATCGCAGGAATACGGTAAGAATTTTGAAAAGGGTTTTACGTCAATGAGGGTTATATATTACCTAAACGATTGAAGAAGCTGAAAGTTCTTATACTACGTAATCAGAGCCGCTGTTTCAAACATGAAACTTTATCCGTAACCCTTTTATCATGCTAGATATACGTAACACTGATTTCTGACATTCGTCGAAAATATGATTGAGACATTTCAAAAGCTCTAACCCCCAAAATTCATGTAGTGAAATCAGCATGCATAAAATTTTTTAGCGAATTCTCCAGAAATTTTGAAATTTTTTCGAATGGCCTATCTCGCACTGGCCCGATATGCTTCTTACCGTGGTCCAACAGTAATGAAAGAGAACGGTATTTTGCTTCATATTGTGAACTTAAGTTGAAAAATCAAAACCTAAAGCTTCTCGAAAGATTTTATGGCAAGAGAATCAATACAAACAGTAGACACATTTTTCAGGACACCATGTTTACGTACTTTTATTTTTTCAGCTTATGCCAGCAGGTTTCCAAGTTTGCGTTGGCTTTTTTTCAATTAAGTAAGAAAAAATTTACTGCTTTATCCGATGTGATTGGAGTATGCTGTACAGAAAAAAATAGCAGGTCTCCCAGACCTGCTGTCTTTTTCACCACTATCACTCCGAAGAGTTGCGTCTTTCTTTGAACTCATCACATAAACGTGTATCGCCGCTGTCAAGAAGGTTTACAGCCTTTATAAGAAACGATATTGATGATTTCACGCTACATGGACAGTTCGGCAGTTCTGTAGACGCTTAAGTAGAAGTTCGCAAAACCTGATGTGCAAGTTCATGTGCGACAGTAGTCTCGATTTTTCTTCGCCTTCGATTCAGCATTATTTTGAAGTCCCGTTGCGATACATTGTATTCTGGCGGTAAATCCTGATGGGACCTTTGCCATGGTTCTAGCAAGTGGGATTTTCTGAAGGATAGTCAAGAAAAAAGAAGAAGTTTATTGGAGTTTGACCTCAATTTGCGCCAACCTGAAAGTAATCAATCCCCAATTTTCCATTGCGCCTGCGTCAAAGTTTTCTAATGCGACTAGATCTGCAAAGCAAAGTTCATAATGCGAAGACGAGCTGAAGGAATGATAGCATATGAGCATATAACTTGTCCAGTGATGTCCGTTTATAATCTACTACAAAAAAGTTGAGATTGCAACTTTTTCCCTTGTGGAGAGATCATTCTTACCTGACGTTGCCCGAAAATTAAGCGCTTCCAAAAAGAGTGATTTTTGAAAATTCGGTAAACTATTACAGAAAAAAAACTTGAGCAGAGAAATGACTCGTTGCAAACTTGTTTTACTTATTTGTGCACTTTATAAAATGGACCCATATCATTAGCTGCCATAGGATGCAGAAAACTCTGAGCGAATGTTTTCAAATTTCTTGCCAAACATGCACATTTCATGGAACAAATATAAAATGTATTGTTTGGCAAGTGGCAAACAATCTGGACAAATGCCCAACCGAGATAAAACTAAATTATAGCAATTTGACTCAAGTTTCTTGATTTCAGTACTACAAGATCACTCTTCTATAATTATTTCTTAACTTCAGCACTACAAAAACACCTTTCTATACAGCACTGGCAGTGCCGCTTTTCAAAGCTGCGTTTTAAACGCAACTATGGAGCCTTGAAAGATTCTTTAGGTACTATCTGCCTAACGGATCTAGACAAGGCAGAAGCCTTAGCCAAACATTTTGCAAACACATTTTCTACTGATAACTCTACACCGAAACCTTTTGGGCCTCCTCTACGCCACACATGTACAACTCCTATAATCATGGCTTCTGCGATCGAACGTTTTCTCAGAAAACTTAAACCCTCAACGTTTGAACCCTTCGATGGACTCCCACAGATTCTCTTCAAGAAATGTGCAAGAGAACTTTCAATCCCACTTTCCTATATTTTTAACATTTGTCTCATTTGTAGACAAGTGCCAGAAATCTGGAAAGAAGCCATTGTAACTCCTGTTCCAAAGGTAACCAAGCCACAATTTATAACCGAATTTAGACCCATAAGCATGAACTCCATTCCATGCAAAATACTTGAAAAGATATTACGAGACAAACTCCTTGATTGGTTCGATAAGTTTAAACTCATACCACCTGAACAGCATGGGTTCAGTAAAGGTGCATCTACGGTAACCCAACTGTTGGACTGTACTTATGATTGGATCAATGCTGTTCTTGATAAGAAGAAAGTCGATGTAATATATTTTGACTTATCCAAGGCTTTTGATCACATAAGCCATGAAAAACTGTTGTACAAACTCAACCACTATGGCGTCAGAGGAGATTTATTAGAATTGTTCAAATCTTATCTTCAAAATAGATATATGACCGTTCGTGTTGGCATAGAACATTCTGGACGTTTTCCATGCACGAGTGGGCTTCCACAGGGAGGGGCATTATCACCTCTTTTGTTCAACATTTATACGGCCGATTTACCTAAAATACTGAAGACTCACCCAGATGTTCACGTACTCATGTATGCAGACGATATAAAAATTTATGGAATTTATAACAATGAAAACCACACATCAGTCAAGAATGCATTACAACGTGCCATTAATTTAATGGTGGACTGGTGCAAAGTTTGGGATATCTCTGTCAATGTGAATAAAAGTTCTGTTTTCCACATCGGTTTTGGCACTAATGACGATTTTCAATACGAACACGCCGGTATAATTCTAGAAAAAAAACCTTATGTCAAGGACTTGGGAGTAATTTTTACCCCATCTCTGAAACCTGACTTACAGATCAAAGCCGTTATTTCCCGTGCAATTTCTGTTACCTATCTCATATATCGTAGCACCAAAATCGATAACCCTAAGATACTTTTAAAACTTTACAGAGCTTTTGTTATCCCCATTTTAGAGTACGCAAATCAGGTGTGGAACCCCTCTCTGGTGAAGCACAAACAGTCTCTGGAGAACGTTCAGAAAGTTTTCACACGACTTCTGTTTTACCGTTGCTTTCCCAATCCAAAACATCCCCAATCACTTCCTAATTATGAAGAACGCTTAAAAAAACTTGGTCTGAAAAGCCTCTCTTACCGTAGAGTTGAACACGACCTTGTACTTGCTTTCAGGATTTTCAGAGGGGAGACCATATTAAGGCCTTCCAAATACTGGGTATTCAGACCCACATACGGAAGGATCAGTTGTTTTTCTATTTATCATCAGCGAATCGGTGGGCGAAAGAAATCAACGTTATCAAACTACGACTTTTCCCAACGTGTGATAAACCTGATACAAAAACTAACTAATGAAGTTCTTTCTTGCACTAATAGCAACTCTTTCAAAAATAAACTAAAAACACTGAAATTAAATGAAATCTTTACAGATAGTGCTAGTCCGACATCTGTTTTTCCATGATGAGGTGGCTACGTGCGATTGATGTGCGATTGAATTTTTGAATGGACTTCAAATTAGACCAAATACGGCCATTGATACTTGTCTTTCTACCAATATTATTTGCTTTCTACATTTCCTACTAACCCATATCATGTCATCATGTTAGTGCAGGTCTGAACAACGATTGCTTCCTTTCAATCAGCAAAGCTTGATGACTTGCTCTAGTTGAGTTAATAAGTGGAATTCTATTGATATTCTCTCGGAGCATTGGTCTCTCCCCGGAATCATTTGGGCAAGGTTATTTGCTACTCTACCGACCAAGCCTTGCTTTGCTAACTTTACTACTTCAAGAGCATTCATTTTGCTAGCAAGCGAGTAGGCGTGAACACCACCTCCACAGCTTTCAACAACTTGCTGATCTTCTCGATCACATACGATTCATTACAACCCTCCATATTACTCAAGATTGATCTTGAGTTATTGAGCTCGTCCTACTTGCCTCATATGGTGAGAGTATATCCACCATACAAACCTAGGCTATAAAATATCTCAGAGTTTTGCTGGCAATAATGGGGGCATGGGTACCATCTCCATGATCACATCTTTAGACTCTGACAAGTGTAATTTAGAGCAGTCACATACAAGCTCAGGTCAACATATAATTCTTAACCAATTTGAAGTTTGGACCTAATCTTCATGGTAGACTTTGATTGCGGTTGTAAGAATAACTCATGTTCTTTTTTGTTCTTTTTGTAAGGAACGCCAAGAGCGTATTGAATAAATAAATAAATAAAAAAAATAAAAAAAATAAAACGCCGGAAGTGCCGTATTGCTATATCTTTTTTCAGGTTACTCCTATAGAGCTCTGGTTAAAATATTTGAACCCAGCGCTGTCTGATGCATCCAATAGTATGTTTGAAAATTGAAAAATTCACAATTTTTTTGTGCCTCACGGCGCAATAAACGCCATATTGCGTCGAAAGAGCCGCATTCGAATAACTTTTCACAAGACTACTCTTTTTGATTCTCCTTGCTATATTTGGACTCAGCACTAATTGGTCTATCCGACAATATATTCAAAATCTGAAAAAGTCAATTTTTTCAAGTGCCGCAGGGCACAATAAACGCGTTTTTGCGTCGGAAGTGCCACATTGTTATAACTGCTTTCATACTTATCCCACAAAGATCTTGTTTACACAGTTGTCACCAGTGTCTCTTGCACTGCCCGCCAATGTGTTTAAAAGTTTGAAAATCTCAATTTTTATTGAATTACACGTTACAGATCTTTTTGGTCCCTTTTTTTGCACTGATAAGCTGATAACGATCTTTAAAGTAATCGTACAAAATTCTGAACAACATATTTGAAATCAGCTCTTCGCAAGCTATCCAATGATGTGTTTAAAAATCTAAAAATCTCAAATTTTTTATTTCCGATTTTATTGGTCCCTCATATCGATATTATTAGCTAGGCTGGCCCCGGCCCTGGCTGCCGTGACCTATCAGTATCGATTATTGTAATCAGGGTCGGTTTATTATCAGAACATAAAAGGGGTTTTTACATGTTTGACTTCAACATTCCGAAAGTGTAGTACTTACTGAATTTGGAATTTGAAATCATGAACTTCAATTTTTGAAAATCATCGAAATTTAGAAATCACCTCTAATTAATTCAGAAATTCCAGATCACGATAAGGCACAAAGTTTTCTGATCGCAATTTGAAATTTTTGACTGGTCACTTCTCCTGGCCTATCTGAGAAATAACAAAAATCATAACTTCTGAATTTTGGAAACCCAAACTCGAAATCTTGACATATTTGATAGTATTTTTAGCGAAAGTAAGATTTGAATAGCAAAAATAATGATTTTTAATTTCGAAGAGCCTTGCTCCAATTCTTGCCGTATCATTCATTTAAGCACTGTGAGATTTCAATGGCAAAGATCATATTTCCTGGTTTTTGAAATGCCTAGCACATTTCGTTAAATTGCAACTATTAGTAATCACCGTTTCTTTCCAAGTCAATCAGTATTTCGATAGCCTTAGATAACTTCGCACCTTTGGACATGCCTGTGTCAGCTGGGTGCAGGTGCACCAAATCGATTGGATAAAATAAACACGGCTAAACATATTTTCGTAACCAGATCACTTTAGTTTGTTAAAATGGGAACTAGACTTACATTCTTACCCGTACACTGAATGTACAGTGTATAGGGATTTCAATATTCAACATGAACTCTATTTTTGGAATTTTCTGAAAATTTTGGAATTACCGAAAAGAAATAAGCAAATGACGTCAAAATATTGAGAATCTTATCTATATATCTATCTTGATATCTATATATATCTATATCTTGAAAATATCTTGAAAATGGCATAAACGTGTATGGTTTTTCCCCGAAAACATAAATAAATGTAATTTTTAATATATCAATGTAAAATTTGGGAGTTTTTACGAGTAGTCGTGTGAAGCACACAGGTGTGAATGAAAAGTCAACATTCATAGGTACTTTGTTTACCTTTGATTTCCACTGTTACAGTGAATCCAATGATTTAGTCCCATGATTGAGCCTTGAAACTTTTGCCAGATTGAACCCACATATTAGGTCGTTCCGAAAGTTCTTTCCGTTTCTCTAACCTATCATAAAAGCAGGTGGAATAAAGGTAGGGAAACGCTTCAGGCAATATCCGACGCAGCGTTTCTTCCTCTTTCTAGCAGTCATATTCAGATGTCGCTTACTCTTGTGATCATGAGATAATCGCCGAAATTTTGAACCCATGGTTTTTACCATGTCCAAATTTGGCAATTTTTCACAATCTTCATTTTTAACTTTCGGAGAAGCTTTGATAACACTCAAGTAGAGTAAACAAAGTGCAATGCATTGCAATTTATTGGCAAATCCAGCTGGCTTTTCAGTAATTTTTGAAACAATTTTCCCAAAAGTCTTCACTTTTGCAAAGTCCCAAAATGCAGAAACGCCCCGAACACTGGTAAATCTACGGATTTTGAAGCTTTCAAAAGTCAGTTACGATCATACATAATTTTTAAAAAGCAACTGAGCGTTTACCGCTTATAAATTCAAAGTTTCGCGTTTTACGTGTACAGGCTGGGACGGGTTCAAAATCAAGAATTATGGAAGCTTCATCTCCAAAGACCCCACAAATTGGAAAGAAAATACATTCATTAGAAAGAGAAGGAAAATCTGCATCGAATGACACCTTATTGTGCGCCGTCTTATGCTCTATGGCTCTTGGCGTCCCCAAAAGTGGAATTTGATAGCATCAGAAAAATAATCCTAAACATTTTTAAGGCTAGCTATAAATGCCGAAAAATTGCATTGAATTGCACTTTTTTTGCTCTATCTGACTGCTATCAAAGCTTCTTCAAAAGTCAAAAAAGAAGATTGTGAAAAATTGCCAAATTTGGACACGGCAAAAACCATGGGTTCGAAATTTCGACCATTATCTCAGTGATCACAGGAGTAAGCGACAACTGAATATGACTGCTAGAAAGAGGAAGAAAAGCTGCGTCGGATGTTGCCTGAAGCGTTTCCCTATCTTAATTCCACGTGTTTTTATGATAGGTTGAAAAAACGGAAAGAACTTTCGGAACGACCTAATATATGATTTCCAAAATTTCAAAATAATTCTGAAAACATGTTTCCTGAAATAATACAGCTTCGATAGTCTAAATTTACAAAAACAAGTATTGTGCCTGCATTTATTTTGTACGGAATTGGTTCAGGTGCATCTGCACCAAGCTGACACAGCGGGGTCCTAAGGTGCGAAGTTATCTAACGGATGCCATCCAGATATCGATTAACTTGGAAAAAATGTGATTTTTAATAGTTTCAAGACTTCTTGAAATGAGCTAGGCTTCTCAAAAATCAGAAAATATTTTTTTTGCTGGAATTTCGCATAGCTAGGCATGATAAAATTCCGCAAAAATTGAAGCTAGGCTTCAAAATCAGGAACTGTTATTTTCGCTGTTGGAAGCCCACATCAGCTAAAAAATAAAAAATCGGCAAGAATTTAAGTTTGGACTCTCAAAAGTCAGAAAATATGATGCCGCCTTTTTACCAGTATTCTGGTAGTTTCTTTATCAAAATGAAATACAGCCGTGTTTAGGGTCTTGGCAGCATTAGACTAAAATCATGACCCGAGGATCAATCATTCTACGGACACCGTAGAATGATTAGAAGTACCTATGAATGGTCTGGTAGTGCACGCATTCTGATATTTGGAACTTCAATCTTATGCATTTCTCTCATGATTTTTTGACAAACTGGAAGCAGCACTACATATTCCAAGACAAGGTGGATCTAAACAGCTCTTTAACAATAAATGAGAAAAAACAAAACTTCTTTTGATTGAATATTTCAGATTCGAATTCTCAACTCAATCGAAAGAAATAGTAATATATGGGAGGCAAATATGTAAAATCTTCACTACTTCAGTACTTTAAGTTCATAATCCCTGCCCAGAACAGGGAAATTGCATGATCGATCCTTGACCTCGAACCAACCGTTAGCCACTGCTAGTAAGCGCCAGCAGATTCACGTTTGAGAGTCTAGAGTCTTGAAATTCACGGATAGTTTTGTAGAAGGCCAATCATCATAAATGTCACCACAGTCAAAATCAAGAAGCGTGTTGCGACAAAAAGTTTCAAACATTTGTATTGAAGAAAATGCTGTTTCTAGACACATGGCATCCTTGAGTTGCTGCCAGTTGATCTGCACGCATTATGACCTTGAAGAATTAGTTACCTACAAGGGAATGGAAGTGGCATTAATATGCAAAAAACGTTTGAATTGCGCCTACTTGGCTTTTTGGTGCAAATCTGCGGCAACTTGAAACAAAACTACATTTCAATTCAGTCGAGAGTGAGAAAGCTGGTCTACAAATGATTCCAAAATCGAAAGCATACACTTTTCTGGCAAAAGCAGGAAATGATTGACCAAGTTTTCGCTATAATTTAGCGGGATAAAATTTCTCATGAATAAATGCTTGATCCTCATGAGCTACTCAAAAGATCAGTCACCAATCAATTAGCTGGGCTGCCAAAATTTCATTCGGAATCAAAAGAAAAACGCAAGTCAATCATTAACAGCTGCTCACATTTACATGCCTTAAAAGTTTCTAAAATATAGGTTTTCAGATGCTGAAGTCAAACTGAATCATTTTGATAATTTTGAACTTAAATTGCATAGTGCTGTTTGAACGAAACCTACAATTTTTTGTAGTGACTCGGGATGAGAAGATTCTTTCTGATTTTTGCAGTCTCGAATTTCTAAAAAAATTTTTTTGGGTGGTTTTTAAGTTTCGAATTTCAAAAACTGAAGTTCATGATTTCAAAATTCAAATTCCACTATGTGCTACTCTTTGGGTGTGAAATTCAACGTATAGTTTATACAGTTTAGTATTGTATTTTGTTACCATATCTATTATGACAACAAAAATCGATAATGATAGGTGCAGCCAGGAGCCGGGGCCAGCCTAGCTAATAATAGCGATATAAGGGACCAATAAAATCGGAAATAAAAAATTTGAGATTTTTAAATTTTTAAACACATCATTGGATAGCTTGCGAAGAGCTGATTTCAAATATGTTGTTCAGAATTTTGCACGATTACTTTAAAGATCGTTATCAGCTTATCAGTGCAAAACAAAGGGACCAAAAAGATCTGTAACGTGTAATTTAATAAAAATTGAGATTTTCAAACTTTTAAACACATTGGCGGACAGCGCAAGAGACACTGGTGACAACTGTGTAAACAAGATCTTTGTGGGATAAGTATGAAAGCAGTTATAACAATGCGGCACTTCCGACGCAAAAACGCGTTTATTGTGCCCTGCGGCACTTGAAAAAATTGGCTTTTTCAGATTTTGAATATATTGTCGGATAGACCAATCAGTGCTGAGTCCAAATATAGCAAGGAGAATCAAAAAGAGTAGTTTTGTGGAAAGTTATTCGAATGCGGCTCTTTCGACGCAATATGGCGTTTATTGCGCCGTGAGGCACAAAAAAATTGTGAATTTTTCAATTTTCAAACATACTATCGGATGCATCAGACAGCGCTGGGTTCAAATATTCTAACCAGAGCTCTATAGGAGTAACCTGAAGAAAGATATAGCAATGCGGCACTTCCGGCGTTTTATTGCGTTTAAAACGCAGCTTTGAAAAGCGGCACTGCCAGTGCTGTAGTTAATGTCGTCTTATAAGGCTTGCCCTACCTTGCTTTGACATGACATCATTCACTCCAAAGTACTTTTCTAAGAACTCCATGACAGTAGTAGCTACTTTGAGTCCGTACTCTCTTCGCGATTCTCTACCAGGAGCTGACCACAAACGGAACTAGTAAAAAATGACAATTATGGTTGAATTGAGCAGTCTTCAAGCTTATGCAACAGCTCACTTTTACTCCTCTGTTTGTTTGCATCTCGTTATATGTAAATTCAGACACTAAAAGAGCGAGAAGATACGACGACATAATAGGAGTCGGCTCAAACGTAGATATTGTCCATTTTCCGCCTTGTTTACTAAAATTTAAATTAGTTACGAGTTGCAATAAGTGTTAACAAACAGAAAGCCTCGAAATGCGCGTCCGCCAAATATTCATCTAAATATGTCTGTTACGTAAAATGAACATCAGGAATGATATCCACGAAAGTCCATAATAGAAGAAAATGGACTTTTAAACCACATTTTATTCGTTTGTGGTGGAAATTAGTTTGAATCTGCTTTCCCTCGCGTTATCCATAATGTTCTATCCTATCGCAACCCCGAGGCAAAGCGGTATAATGAAAGTGATTCAACCTTAAGTGGGCTCTCATTTGCAAAAGAATCACGCGAAAAGTCCATTTGGAATGAAGCGAAATGGGATTAACCTCCATTTCAAATGGACTTGAAAACTCATGTGACCCCCAGCAGCAAGGTGAGCTGGGACTAAGCCCATCTTTGACCTTTTTGCACATTTTTGATTGCAATTTTTTTAAAATGTCTTTCTTAGCCTATTTTATGGTAAAAGTGGGTGGAAAAAGTTTCATGTTTTTTATGAAGTCTGAAATAAGTGTTTTTTCCGAACTCCTACGAACGCTATAAAAATCATGAAAGAAGGTTAAATTTACCAAGATACTTGCTAACAAACTCAAATGCTTTCAAGTATCAGGCCAATGCAAAAATTCCTATGTAGGTCAAATAAAGTTTGTTAACTCTTTAAACCATCAATAAAAACTAAACATACTTTGTATTTTAAAGTAAAAAAAATTTGCGTTTAAGAAATTTACTCTGGCTACCTTCTTACTAACATCGTCGAACAGACCCCCAAAGATGCATTTCGACCTTCGAGATTATTTTCAGCTTGCTCGCAAAAAAAGCTGGAGTGTCGCTAGCAAACCAAAAAAAACTCTGAAAAATATCTTACTAGCAATAATTTATGTTAGGTTGTCGGATAATTTCTGTTACACTCTCTTCTGGAATTTCTAGAAAATTCCAGAAGCGTTCTGAAAACCCCAAATTTGCAACACGTTTAGGACATAGCAGGATCTACCCACCAGATGGATTGATGATTGATGCCGTAAGTGCACTAATGGCCAACAAGTATACGACAGTTTTGTAAAAGCAATCAAATTTTTCAGTTCTTGTCTGGTCCTTTTCTCTGCACCTACTTGCGCTTTTCCTCTTCCAAAATTTTTTAGAACGTACTTTGGCATAGTCTCTCACATAGAGGCATTCTGGTGCCTCTAGCGTTTCAAAAACGAGGGGTGAAAAAATATCAAAAAAATTCAAATACTTTCCTAAATTCTCCTTTTTACGTGCATCATATAGAAATGAATACAGAAAACATAAAAATGATTTTTTGAAATTTTTTGAAGAAAAATTTTTTTGGAGTTTTCTTCTGAAATTTCCAATGACTGCAAAGATCGCGCACATTGAGACTTGAACCCAGGGTCCCGCACCCCTTGGTTTGGAGCATTTTTGAAAACGAAGTCCCCTTTAAATTCGCGAAATTTACGAAGTCTCTTTTGACGTAAAAGTCAGTAGGGAAACCCTTGTTTAATCAACACAACAAAACATAACAATAAAAAAGCGACAAAAAGAGTTTGGGGTACATAAAGAACAAAAAAGCAAAACATACTAGTCGATTCAATTCTTGAGTATGGTACCATTTTAATGTTCAGAAAGTTGAAAACCTCATGTGCCAACCAAATCTATGACCTCAACAATCTGGCAATGCATTTTTCGCCACATAGTTTAGAGGACATCGCATGTGGTTGGAGCGCGATATCTATCAACCAGTGCGTCACTTCTGCTTCGCAGAGGTTCGCATTGGACCCACCATCATACCTCACCACCAAGCCTTACTCATTTTCGCAAAAACGGCATTGAAACTCACCGCGCTATGCAGGCTATCACGAATGATTCGTAAACAACTGCTCATTCCTAGAGATTTTTCGTGTGAGATCGGTATTTTCGTGTGGGTGGAACTTTTCCCAAAAGAATGAATGCAAATTTCATTTAGTTTTTGGTCTTTTCATGGCTCGTTAGCAGCCATAAGAACAATTGATACCGTGGGCTACATCTCTGTGCAAACATCTTTTCAAATGATCAGGTAAAATCTTGACAAAGTGAACATTTACGCAACTAATCCTTTTTGGCCACGCTCCCCGAATTTCGTGGACAGACAGACAGACAGACACACAAAAACACGTAAACATCCTTAGCCCGTTATCATTAGTCATGATGCTTTAGTTTAAACTATTTTTGGCTCAAAAAAGAGGAGAAACAGTGATTTGATTCTCTCTCTTCGCTACACAATAGATTTTGGTGAGTTTTCTTCGCCCAAAACTTATGTGAACTTTCCGATATTTATGCTCCGAACCAACCCAGTTGGTTTGGTGTTGGTTTAGAAACCAACAAATTCGGAAACGGGTATTAGGACACATAAGTTTTTGGAGCCTTTTACATAATGTTGTTGGAGTAATATTGTTTATATAGCCTAAATTCGGCGTCATGTCATTGTTGTGCGCTGCATACAAGCCATCCGTTTGTTTGTCTGACGTTTAAAATTCACGCGCTTCCCAAAGAACACGTTCAACTCTTAAAACCTGACATGTTTGTAGTTTTTTTTCGGTGCTTCGCTTAGGACCTTATGAAAACGATATCCTCGTTGCCTCTGACCTCAAAAACGAAGTCCAGTTTAACCCCGAACCATCTGTGCCGGGCCGTACTTGAACCGCTCAGAAAAACGTGTGCAGACATGTCTGCGTTATCCCTCCATATTGTCTAAACGCTACAGACTATGCCCTACTTAATTACCACAATGTCCGGTCTATTGCTTATTACCTGAGAGAACGCCAGTTCATTTACAAAAATGGGAAGAAACGGATTTTCAGCCGCAAAGTGTGTGTTTTGCGCAGTATCGCGGATACGACGGTACCCTGTATAGGCCTTTTGACCTTGCCAGTACGCCGTGAACATGAGATCTTTCCAAAGCTCCTGAGATTTTTGAGAAATAAAATAATAAGTGTAATAGAAGTTATCCGACAGCTTAATACATTAATCAGGCCTTAATCTCGTACGGAAATATAAAAAGCCAGCCGCTCTCTGCCGCTACGCGGCAGGTTCGGCTGGTACACGGCAGCTTCGCTTCCGGTAAATCGTTCGTTTTGTTCTTTATTGAAAGTGAAATGCAGAAAATTTGCCATTTTGCACGAACTACTTCGTTTATAACCGGCGCAGAAAGAACAACCGTGGACAATTTCGGCTTTGTCAGTTTATTTCGAATTAACACTAAGCAATGGATATTACGCGAACTGCGAAAAATCAATAAATTGAAAGGGTCGATCATTATAGTTGAACAAACGGCTCATTAAAACACATCCACCCATGCGTTATGCCTGTCAAATTTGGTCTATATTCCATAACTCCTTCTATCGTTTTCAAGCAAAGATAATTTCTAGGCAAAAAGTGCAAAAATCCATAACTCGATAGCAACAAACCGTGTGTATCGAACAAATGGCTTATTAACAACGGCGCACACCATGCATTACGTCTGCCAAACCTGCCTTAAATCCTATGATTCTTTTTCTATTCATCGTGAACGAACATAAAAAAGGGGTAAATCAAATCTATAAATCTAATCTATATATCTAATCTATATCTTTTTGAAAAGTGGTAGTGCTGGCGACAACGAAGATATATTACGTGCACCGGGGCAAGCTCTTCTTGGGCCTCTGGTGCTTCCTGGCCATGATGAAGACGGTTATGTGCAGTTACGGAGCTCCGCATTGTGCCACGTGCTCGAGTTCTTTGCGCATTGTGCATCTGCGGAATGGGGGTGGAGGTAGGTGCCGGTTCAAACATCACTTGTTGCCGCGAGTCAAGCGTAAAGATCGTTTATGCTGTGTTCTCGTCGATTGGCTCGTATCCTCGTTGGCCAACCCGTTCTGGGCTCGCACCATGCCTGGATTGATCCAGTGTCTCCTGAAGGTGTCCGTTGCGCTGTGGTTCCTGATGCCGTCGACGAAGATGACGTTCACGCCTTAAGGCAAGACGCCGTTCTCGTTCCTCTGGTGTTTCTCGGCTACGACGAAGGGGCTACGCATGGCTTCAGAAGTGCGCCTTGCTGCGGCACGGGCTCGGGATCTCTGGGCAATATGCATCTGCGACTGAGGTGTGGAGGGGGACGGTCCATTGCTGGAGGGGGTCAATGTCGGCGCCATGGTCTCGGGAGTGACAGTAGTCGAAGGAGGTACGACCACGACGAAGGCATGGTATGAATGAACCGTAAGGCCGGGATAGGGTATTTTGATTTGGTGGCCATATTTGATCTCGCGGATGAACCATTCTGATTTTGTTGATGAGCCATGCAGTCGACGAAACCCGTTGCGAAAGGTGAATGCATAGTTAAATATCAGCTAGCCTCCAGAATGTGGCATACAAAAAATTAAGAAAAAAGGTTTAAAAAGTTTAGTGGTTAAAGTTGTAGATAATTTATTCGAATTGACCATGCTTAGCTATCCCTTCCTGCCAGTTTTTGCTCAACAAAGATTGAAACCCAAAATTCGATAAATCGATAACTCCTATGGTGAAAAAGCTTAGTGACACCGGCCCCACCTCGAAGTTCATGTGTACAAAGTTTCGTTTGAATTTAATGAAGTTTTCTAACATTTTAGGCCGGTCATAACGAAATTGCTAGGCAAAAAACGCAAAAAAAAAACCGATAAATCGATAGCGCCACTTGGCGATTTTCGCTGAAAAAGCTTAGTGACAACCGCCCCACCCCGAAGTTCATGTGTGCAAAGTTTCGTTTGAATTTAATGGAGTTTTCTGACATTTTAGGCCGGTCATAACGAAATTGCTAGGCAAAAAACGCAAAAAATCGATAAATCGATAGCGCCACTTGGCGATTTTCGCTAAAAAGCTTAGTGACAACCGCCCCACCCCGAAGTTCATGTGTGCAAAGTTTCGTTTGAATTTAATGGAGTTTTCTGACATTTTAGGCCGGTCATAACGAAATTGCTAGGCAAAAAACGCAAAAAATCGATAAATCGATAGCGCCACTTGGCGATTTTCGCTGAAAAAGCTTAGTGACAACCGCCCCACCCCGAAGTTCATGTGTGCAAAGTTTCGTTTGAATTTAATGAAGTTTTCTGACATTTTAGGCCGGTCATAACGAAATTGCTAGGCAAAAAACGCAAAAAATCGATAAATCGATAACGCCACTCAGCGATTTTCGGTGAAAAAGCTTAGTGACACCCGCCCCACCCAGAATTTCATGTGTGCAAAGTTTCGTCCAAATTCCTTGATTCTTTCTACCATTTCAGGCCGGTCATAAAAAAAGTGCTTATTCAAATATTATATAAGTATTGATTTACAACCATTTCGTAGAAAAAACCTCCTCAACGCGGTATTTTGTCACCAAAAACACTCTTTGATACTCCAAGTCTCCCACTTGTTTTATGCAGTCTAGGTCCGGGTTGGTCTGGGTTGCATAAGTTTAGGCCTGTGTTTATATGAAGAAAATGCGGTGACAAGAATCTGTCCTGTATAACGAAGTTTTTCACAACTTTTTAAATTATGTGCTTCCCTGAGATATTGACTACTACAGTGATGTATAGCCTGAGATGTAAGAACTGTTACAGATTTTATAACTTTAATTTTACGAAATGGAAAAAAAGAGAATATCCACGTGACTGATTGTAAAGATAGATCAGCTGATTGTAGTCAGAGTTAGATATCAACCACTTGGTAGGAATGATTTTGCAAGAGTGAGACAGGTTGAGACAAGTTAGAGGAAGGTTTGCTGAAGCATTTATGTATGGAATGAATGGATTCGCGAATGCGATATCCTATCGAACTGCATGGACTAAGTCCATTTTATTCGCACAAAAAGCCCATTTCGAGGGGACTTTCATGGATATCATTTAGGTCAGCAGAAGGGCACTGTCTCTTTTTATGTTACCGAATCGGGAGAACATGATATGATTTCAGGAGGGCGCTGTGTGTGTGTGTGTGTGTGTGTGTGTGTGTGTGTGTGTGTGTGTGTGTGTGTGTGTGTTTGTGTTCGCAAAGCGGCAAGCCAATATCCTCAGCTCAAATTTTGTGTAGCGGCGCTGTCAGCATGGAAGTCCATTGTGCGAAAGCACGAGCGGGTTTAATAGGCGCAATCCACTGGCCCGTGGAAATGGGCATGTTTCTTTACTTTCGCAAAATTACTGATTTTTGTTACATGCACATCTGCCAGCCAAGGGCTTCCCTGCAAAAAAATTCTAGAGTATATGTGCGCGCGGGAACGGCGCCAAAAAGTAGAGTGTAAACCCTCGATTACCAAAGTTTCTACATAACGAACAAAAATTATCGCTCAAAAATTTTGCATTAGTCATTGTTTTTACGGCAAGCAGTCCTTAGTCATCCTAGAAAATTCATTCACCTCTCAACAAAAAACTTTCTTTCGTTCAAGCCACCGAATTCCTATGCTGGAGCACTTGAAATAAGCTGTTTTGTTTGATGATATTTGACATCGTCCGGTTTGAACATTGATAACTAGGTAAATGAGGAAAGCAAAACTTCGTATGCGCAACAACTGGGTCTCTTACGCATGAGATTGGAAGCGACGTCCCTACAACAGAAATCGCCACAAATGTTCTTTCACTCTTTTCTCTCTGTCTTCCATCCCCCTGCAGGGAGCTAAACACGGGCCTAGAACTCACGAGCTGCGAGGTACGCTGGCGCAGCACTCTTAAAAATCTTTGGCTTACAATGAATTTGACGACACTAATGCTTTGCCGTGACAAAATGCGAGCATATCAACAAGAAGAAAAGTAGTTGAATTGCAAAAATGGGCTCAAACAGATAAGCACCTCCACATGACCTTCTACGACCAGTGACTTCCACTTTACTATTGTTATCGGGCACTTCCGCAACCGAATTTGGATATGATGTACAATCCCAAATTCTGGAAAGCCCTAAAATTGTCTTTTCTGAAGCCCTAGTTTGGCAGAAATGGACAAGTGCTCCACGCAACTCACGTCGTATGCAACAGGAAACCTCGTCGCATGCAATAGTGCCACCTCACATAGTAGCAGGCGTTTCGAAGTTGATTGCCATGTAAGAACGTGTGACGGGGCCGTCTGGATGATGAATGGAGCGCAAGAAGTTTCAGGTCAAATTTCTTTTCTTGGGAAGCAACAAAAAGGGAGTAGACCACGCAGTTGGTCTATTTCTAGGGCCTATTCATAGGACATTAGTAAACTTGGCTGCATGGACTCTGGGTGGATGCAGCCTTTGAAGACATTGTCTCGGCAAAATTCTACACTCCGGTTCTCACTTTTCTGAGACTTTCGTCATGCTGAAGCCGTTTTGGACATTTCAGCGCTTGAAAACGACACAAATGAGCTTTTTTCGAAATCCTCCGTGTCCGCGGTAGCTATAATATACGTGTAAGTGAGCGGGGTCCAGAAGACTTCCGGAGCGGATTTTGGGCTTTTCAGACGCGCTTATTCGCTTTAGACTTCAATCGTCACCGATAGATTAGTTGGGGATCTGCCATTGCAATACTGTAATATCCGGGTACCCACCATTTGGCCGGGACGCTGACTTTCAGTGGCATAGAATCAGCAAAAATTCATTCAAAAACACCTATACGGATTTCTACCGGCTGTATTTCTTCCTTGTTTCAGTCTACTACCACAAAACTGATCCATGCTCAGAAGTTTTTGTACAGCTTTTCGATAATTTCATGCCATTTATTGACACTCTCAGACCATTTCTTTTGAAGACTCGATCCGCTAAAAAGCAAAAGAAGGGCAGATTTGGAATCAGCGTTCAAAAGCCGCATCTAGTAGTATATTAGGTTGATGCATAGTTCCTGCACCAAGATAGGTACAGACCACATAATCCGGAATGATCCTATATCCCAATCCCAAATGGGATTCGATATATTGTCTAATAGACCAAATCTAGTTCTATAAGATAGTGCTCAAGGTTTTGCGGCAGCTTCGATTCAAGCGAAGATTGAAGCCAAAAACGAAAAAGATCCAAACTCCCAAAAAATCAAAAAAATTAGAATTTCGTTTAGAAAAATTCTTCCAAATTCCTAGCTCGCTCATGCATTGTCATTTCGTATAAAACATTTCTCTATGCAGTTGCTGTATTTTTCTCTCAGCGAAAAACTGGGAAAATGAAGTTTTTCAGGTTTTTTAAAATAATGCTGAGATGTTCTAGCACTGGCACTTGTATACTATAGGACCTTAGAAGCGTGAGTGTGAATTTTCAGCCTTTTACAGCAGCTGGCTTACGAGATATCGAGTTTTTGGCAACTAGGCAAGAAGAATTCGGATGAAGAGAGCTCGGTTCGGCATTTCTCGTAAACTAGATGTTCAAAAAGGCTAAAAATATAAAGTTTCACTGCTAGCGGCATGTACTATACAACTGTTAGCGCTAGAATATCTCAGCACTAATTTGGCAAAACCATGAAAAACTTCGATTTCTCATCGGCCCGTAGTACAAGCTGTAAAGCTCGATCAGTTCAGGTGAACTGAACTCAACCCATCATTTGAGCTTAGGTGAGATGAACTGATGACCGCCCACCTTCCCATGCTATAAGCATGGCGAGTGAACTGATAGTTGACCATCCATCCACCTGTTGCAGTCAACTCTTGCATATCAGTTCACAGTTGAATTGAACGTGGACTGATGCTAGAGTAATGCAAATAGTGTGTAAAAGAGGAGACACAGACAAGCCTTCTGTAGGTTGCTCCTGAGTAAGTTACGATGCGCATCAGTCTGCCAAAAAAGGCAGACAAAATCGGCGCAAATTACACAATACCGTGGCCCGGAAAGGAGAAGATCGATGAGCAGCTGATTTTGGCGAGGAAAGCAAGGAAACTTTTTTTTCGTAATTTGCTGATTTTTTTCTCTGATAAGCTGCTTAAGGCAAGAATTTGTAGATTTATTTCATTGAATTCATGTTGCAGTTCTTTTAATTTTCCATGAGATTTTCGTCAAAAAATGCGTTTTTGTTTCATCCATGAATTTTCTAAGCAAAATCCTTGATAGCAGTCATCACAATTTTCCGATAGTGATCGCTATCAAAGACGACCTACGATACAACAAAAATGTGATGCCTGCCGGTGTCGAGCCATGGCCGCGCGCGTTCAATTCCAATAGCTTACCTGCTCAAACCAAACCAGCTCAAGTGGTTCCTTTTTTCAAGAAGCGAACATGATTATCATATTTAGAAAGAGATCCGCATCCAGATCAATAGCTCACTGGATGCTGGACTGAGCCGTCCTACGTTTAACGTAGGCCGATATCAGTCGAGTTGCAGTGATGGGGTTTACTACTGGCCATGTCTAGCTGAGAGAAAAATCCAGCAACCGCATAGATAAATGTCTTACATGAAGTGTCTACGTGTGAGCAAGAAAGAAATTTTGTAGGATTTTTTGAACGAAGATACAATTTTGTTTTGATTGGTCTTAAGGTTTTTGGACGCATGATTTTTTTAGTTCGGCTCAAAACTTCGCGAGGATCAAATCTGGTGTAGATATTTGAGCACTGTCTTGTAGGGCTAGGTCTGCGCTATCTAATGATATATCCTATTCGGGATATAGTAATTCCGGTTGCGTTCTGTACCTATTTTGGTGCAGGAATTATGCATCAACCTAATACATCTATTCTCAATATGCCAGTGCAACTTTGTATACCACCTTATAGGCCATGCAGTGATTTGCGAAATTAATGCGCGCTATAAAAATTTCTTATTGCCACGTTGTGCCAATTTAAGACTGGATATATTAGAAATTAGATCCATAATCGTGCAAGGAATGCGTTATTGCCGCAGCTTCCCTTATAAGCGAAATTACATTTGAAGTCGCTCACTATGTTACCTAAATCCGTATCATTGGTTACTCGTTCTCCTGATGAGTGACAAATATGTTTTGATCAAAATGAGTCCGAATGCAGTTATCACTCACCTTTTTACATCTAATTTCCTCGCATTTGAGATCGCTGTGGTCCCTTTAGGATGTATTATCTTTACTTTCCAAATTGCCTTATACTCTGGCTCATCAAAACAAGGAACCATCTTTCGAGCACTTGTCGGCTCCATTTGTGTTACAGCTGCTATCCTAAATTACAAAGCTATGGTATAACGTTTATTGCTTGGTTCTGATTGTCCTAAAATCCGCGGAGAGTGCAAAACCTTCTCTTAACAGTCAACGCGGTTGTACTTGAGGGAAAACAAAAACCCTTTGGAACTCAGTAATTCTTTGCTTTTTATGATTTCCATTGTATATCAGGGTACGCAGTCACAACAACTTGTAGTCAAAATGTTTTGTTTGACTCTGTTTGCTGCCAGCTGGCGTTTTGGTAGAAACATGAAATTAGGAGCAAAAAGTGTGCAACGTATCTCCTCTTCTCCAAATCCTGCTCAATGTCACTATGTCACTTATGGCACGTGGTCACATAGCCTGCAACCCCTCCCCCCCTTCGCATCGTTTTTGCCACAGCGGAAGAGTGTTTGTGGGGTACGAAATTGGTGATGTCGCCTTCCGTACTATTCCCTGTAATATGATTGAAAAATTAAATATCTTTCTTACTTTGTTTTTTTGTTGCGGTCCTGGTAGAGATTTTGGTAAAGTCCATTGGTTCCTTTGTTTATTGGCGCAGAGTACGGGATCTGCAGTACAGTCACATTTTTTTGTTTTAATATTGAAGGCTTAAGAATATGCTGCCCAAATCAAATCTGGTTCTGCCGTCGATGCTACTCCTATGTGATTATCCGTTGTGTTTTTACTGCGTCGTATCGCATTAGCAATATTGTATAGCTTTTAATCTACTAGCCGAATTTTCCAGCACCGCTGGTTTTGGTTAAAATCGATCTGGTAAAGGGTATGAGCGGATCCTCAACTTTGGCGAGGCGGAGATGCGCTAGCGGCTCTAGCGTTGCGTTGCCCTGTGCTGAGGCATACCTGATCCATTGATCTCTGTTGGCCATCACGGATCCTCCTCGCCACAGTTAGGGAGTCGACAGTACACAATATGGACTGAAGCCTGCGAAGACTTATTCTTGCTTCCTTTTTTCTGTTCTACTTTACTCCCGCAGATCGCCGTTTCTTTTTTCTTCGGCTCCTGCCCCGAATCTTTACCTCAGCCTTTCTGCAGGATTTGTCTTTATCAAACCCCGCCGCCAAGATCGCTCAACATTTCATTCGAGCTAAAGCTTCGGTTCGCTTTTATAAACCTGAAAATGTCAAGAACTTCAAAGGGTTATCCGTTCAGATATCTAGCAGCATCATTCGACATCATGTCTACCGTACTACGTCACCAGAGGATCAAAAGCAAACTTAAGGAAACAGCGATTCCGAACCTTCACTTTAGTTTTATCGATTTTTCATAGGGCCCAAAAACAGAGTTGAGAGATTGGTGATGATCGATAAGCTTTCATTTTTCTCAAAACTACACAACAAATCGGTAAGTGGCCCCAGCAAACGGCCGCGAAAAGTAGCTCATGTCATCGGTCACAGTCGCAGCGCAACTTGGATGCTGTATTCGCGCATATTTTTTGTAAACGCAGTTTGTGCAAGAAAACCTAGCATGTTTGCACCAGGTAACGGAAGCTATGTGCCTATGGATTCAAATCTGCGCGACGGAATTGTAGACAGCTGATAAAGGGCGTTTCAAAAGTAAGTACATAGTCAAGTAGGTGTGTTTTTTAATCGTTGATAAACTGCTCCCCAAAAAGCCTCTTGCCTAGCTTCGAGAATTGTTCAGTAGAGCAAAATCAGTATAGGTTTAGGATATGGAGTAGATCGTCCATCGCTCTTCTCTACTGTATGACTACGGCGGAACTTTAAGGAAGGTTCAAGATACTCAGCATGCTGAAAACTTTATCATTTCATCATTTACTTCAGGTGAAAACACAGCAACTTTTTCTAGTATTTTCCAAAGTGCGATGGAACCGTTTCGGGCGCTTAAAACCTCGTAAAAACTGTTTAATGAGTTAACATGTCTGAGAACGCCGATATATAACTTTTCAGAGAGTCCGAAAGGTATGTATGCACTGTTTAACGTGAACGTATATCTTTCCACAAAGTCTACTGTCAACATCCAAGTACCATACAGAGTTTGTTCAGTTTAGGTTTTGGAGCAAATCGCGAACGTTTTCACTTCATGACTACAATAGGAGTTTCTCGCACGGGCTGCCCGCGGTGAATTAGCTGCCATTTGAAAAAAAAGCTTATTAAAAACCTGCAAACTTGTGTGACGGGTTTTTACGCGCTGCTTTCACTCAAATTTCCAGGAATCTGTGAAACTTTCGAATAATGTAATCACTGTTTTGGTGAAGGCTGGAGAAGCAATTACTTTGGTGTAATTACTTGCAAATTTGCGAAGAAAGCAGCAAGAGTACACACTCGCCAAATCATGAGCTTAATCAGACAATGTAGAAACTTTGAGATTTTAACTTCACAGAGCTTACGCAGCCAGTGAAGAAACGACGCGCATCCACACATTCGAGAGTCATAAAAGTTTCTCAGTACCGCTTGCTCGTCCTACGACTATGAGAAAGTCTTTAACCGCGTCGACATTATGTTCATCCGCCAGGACCGTACAATAACGGGAAGCTGTTCCATCTCCTTACTCCATCTCAACTGTGAATTAGGTTCGAAAGGCGACACAATTTTGCCGAAGCTGTTTACTGCGGCCTTGCAGTGGACAATGAAGTAACTAGAAGAGACGTGAAAAGCATTCCGATCGCGAACAAATAGAAGGAAAAACAATTTATGACCCTTCGCAATGCGGAAATGAACTCGAAAGGCACCCACGTTAAGGAGGCTTCTCGCGTGAAGTTTTGACGATTGGTGAGCTTGAAGAACGAGCTTGACTTAACAGGAGAAGAAGAACGGCCTAGGCCGCCGGTCTTCAAAAAAGGCCTCCAACGGCGTGTTCGGTTTAACCGCTCTTTCGGCCCTTCGTTACGCAGTTGAGACTTGAGCCAACACTGCAGCAATGTCGAAAACTCTATGGCCCATTTATAGAGCGCTCGAGAGCAGTCTTGGGAGATGGTTTGACACAAGCGACATTTCGTTGGACTTTCCAGGGACATGAAAAAAATGTTCCGTCTTCATGACTCAATGGACGAAAGCGAAGCAAACGAAGCATTGATGGCAGGATAGAAGCCAGATAGGCGCTAAGAGCACTAGAGCAAATTCCTAGCAAAACCTATTTGAGGAAGGCTTAAAACGAGGTGGGTAGGAGTGTTCTAAGAATGAATAGAAAAACCGAGACATTAACAGACACAATCTTTCCACCTGGCGTCCGCAATTGCAGCTACCGTTGACAAATAAAAAGATCATGATATCTGAAGCGAGGGACAGAGACATATGGAAGCTTTCATGCTTGGGTCCGCGCGCTATGTGATGACAGACCATCTGGGTATCCAAATAAGTAAAAAAGTAGCTTGACTTGCAGTGACTTCTATCTGGCCTTTTGATGCACCGTGCTTGAAAGATAGGAGCGATGGCGGAAAACATAGGAAGACATAGAAAGCTTATAAAGCCTTATCTTCGTGTGTCTTCCCGTAAAGAGGGCTTTTAAATTTTTCGAATCCAAATAAAAGTTTTTTCAACTCTACTTTGTAGCACTTTTTTATATCGATGAAACTGCTATAACAACCAACAGCATTGGGGAGTGAATAAGTACGTCTGAATTGCTTATTCGTGACTAATTTTTACACTTTTTGAGCACTTCCAAGCTGAGGTCCAGTCTTTTGTATGAACAAAGGGGGATGCTTCTTTCCGTATTTCTTGCCCAGCGGCCCTCTCAAATTTTATTCTTGCAAGACGCCGGCTGAGCTCGTACATCTCTTAAAATTGCTTGTGTCAGAGTTGGGATCATGCTGAAAAAGCTATTCGTGATAATGGCGCTGAGCGTACACGAACTAGACACTCGATTCTTCAAATCTCAAACAGGTGTAGTAATTTTTACGCGGTTTGGAACATCACCAAAATACTGTGGTCTGTTTTGAGTCTACAATTTGGCTATGAATGTTAATTGTTAAGTATTTGCTGCAGAAGCAGATATTATACTGCTAGAATATTATATCAAGGCAAACCTTTAACATGACTTCCCGTCCCATCGGTAGACTATCTCGCAGATGAAAGCTAACCTTTCCGTGAGTGTGATCAAAATCAACCTCTTGTATATCGACAGCTTTGCCATTCTAAATACCATAGGTAAGTATTTGTAGAATTGAGATGCTTTTTGGATTGCAAAGATCAACCAGTTCACTGCAGCTTAAGTAGCAACAAGAGGTTGGACAAAATTCGGCGCTACGTACGTCATTGCACACTAGCATGCTCAGACAAATTTTAGTTTGTTCAGCTCTCTTGAATGAGGGTGAATATGATAAACCTTGAGTGTTGATCAAAACGCCAACAAGAACACTGGCTTTTTTCAGCAAAAACTGTCTTTTGCCTGTTTTTTGAAAGCAATATTTCGGGAACCTGTATTTTTGATAGGACTGAAAAAGCTCTAATAAAAGCTTCAATTAGAACTTCTCTTTCTAAATATTGTCAGAAGTCTCGCATCGGCCTGCCTTGAGGACGCGGACAGCTTTCAGTACATGGGGGCGGAGCCTGATAGGATTTGAGCGGGGCTTGGAAGCACTTCGGCCGTTTCAGGCCCTTTATTTCCATTCAAAGACAACACTAGAGGACCGGGCCAGCGCAAATGCCCCTCTCGCGGGGCCGTCATTCAGAATCGGCACTGATTGGAGGGGGTTAAATTTAGCCTGGACACTGCTTTTAAACAAGATAGTTGCCCCTTAAGCAAGGTAAATTTAAATTCTTTTGAATCTGTACATGAAAGGATATTTGGTCGAATTGGCCACACTGGAAAAAATGTAAATGAATTAGTTGCTCTTACGTCAATCTCAGTTAATTTTTATTATTTCATCCCCATTTCTTGAAAAGGAGAACAACCTGGTCCTTCCAGCAAAAAAATTATGATCTTTTTCGACATGCTACGATTTCTTTGTATAATGTCTTGGATGATCTTTGCATATCTTCTGAATGTTTGGATGTTTTCGTTTGATTTTTTTGGCGCACCTTTGTGTATAACAATAATTTACAAACAATATTTGCTTTCCTGTGAAAAGAGTGGTAAGCTTTTTTTCCACAAAAATCGTCACCGCTCTATCAAAGCGCGGAGGTACTTTGGATGTGGGTCTGCATTGCGAGTGACTTGATCTCGCTGGAAAAACACTAAAGTTCAATACCTGTTACCGATAACTACTTTGCATTTGTTTCAAACATACGTTTTCTTTCAACGAGCCATATAATGACAGATAAAAGGGTGTCCCAAGATCATGTACGCTGTTTAATAGTTAATATCTTTTTTCCTAAAAAATTTGTGCCTACACTCAGCCACCAATTTGTAGAATTTACTTCAACTTAGCCCGTATGCACCAATATCCCTGCGACGAGTGGAGCGGCGTTTCCCATTATGAAATGACCGCGCGCAAATGCCACGCCGGCCTCTTCATCATTGGGGACGCCGCTCCCCTCACCACAGGGATGTTATTAAATACGGGCCTCAGAGATACCACATGCGACAAAACACCGATCACTCCTTGCTGTAGGATTACGGTGAGAATTTTTAGCATACAACTCCGTTGTGCAGGAGGCCGTTAAAAGATTTCGAAAAATGTGAACAATTGTGGTTTAAGGTTTTCACGCTTGCTGGCTTCATTGCATACTTTTTCGAGTACTTGAGGTTTCATAATGGTGCAGTCATTTTTTTTGAGAGATTAAAAACGGTTATAACGGTATGCTCTTCGTGTCATATAAACGACGCATTGCAGTAAAGTGCAAATTTGTTGTAGCTCAGCGGTGCTGAGTAGCCTAGCGTCAAGCTGTCAGCATGTTTGGTTTTCTTTCTAAGGCAATGTGTGGTTCTTGATAGCTCAAATCCTTTTTCAAAGTTTAGTATTTTATAAGGTAGAACATGTGCGTACTGTTTTGATATTCTTTGAGAAAAGAGTGCGAAATGATCAGTCAAGCTGAGACCATCGTAGTTTTCATTATATAGCTTTTCCAGAAAGAATGACGTATGTTCGAGAAAACTGCAAAAGTACAGCATGCAACAGAAACGTATCTGTTGCATGTGGGCAAAGTCACTCACCATTACATTAACTCTATCGCAGTACCTCTCTCCCCTGGGGAGATGATTTTGTGGAAAAAAAGCGACCGCTCACACAAAATTTGAAATCAGTATTTTAAGAACTGCTCATACTTCGATAGTCCAAAGCTAGGACCTTAAAAGTGAGGGCTGTTTGAATATTCGCCTTTCACATAAAGTAAAAGTTGCTTAAGAAAATAATCGGTTGAAATGCAAAACAGAAAGGCATTGCGAAAGAAACTTCTGGGAAACGTATAAAAACGCTGCAAGAGTGTTCAAATCATTTATTTGGCGGCATTTCGAATTGAAGGTTTCTGCTCCAGGACCAGGCAATCCACAACGCGGGTTGGGGAGGAGGTAGGAGTGGAGAGAAGAGAAAAAACTAACTTCTTTTTTTGTGATTGTTTCAAAAAAACTATGTTTTGGAAGTGTTCTAGAGGAGAAGATAAACAATAAAAGAGTTAGTTGTGAAATCCCCAAATTTGGTCTTTACCAAGTTGAAGTGCACGTCAAAGCCAATTCAGTTTCAATGCGTACTGAATTTTTCAGCATTGTCGCTGTTTGCTGCGACGTTATCTAGATTGTTGTGCTCATTATTCCGAGCAGTGTCACAGTCAGCAATTGGAAAAAAACCGCTGCGAAAACAAAACAAAGGAGGTAAAGAAAAACGCATTTTTTGGATTTTTCGCAATAAATTGGCCATAATCGAAAAAAGTAATCTTTGCGACGTTGTCTGCATTATAAAAGGAAGCAAGATCAATCGAATGCAAGAAAATTACGTTTAATGATTTGAACTAGGAAAAAACAAGAGATTTGCCACAACACGGTTTTTGCCAGATTTCTTGTTAGATTCGAAAAATGGGTTTTGCGACAATGTCAGCGTCAAAGTAGAGATGAAGAGCATTTTGATATATAGTTTGCTAGAATTGGGTTTGAACAACAAGGAAAAGAGTACATAGCAGAGCCATGCCCTATGCCCGCGTTTGGGGTAGCATGGTAGCGCGCATTGCGCGGCGCAGACGAGCAAAGGAGGAAGACCATAGCCGACGGGCATTTGGCTCTGGCCGGAGATTTCCGCGGGGTCCCAACGGGACCCTGCAACATCATATATCAGATCGTCATGGCTTAAGTAGAAGCAGCGACACTATCGCAAGCGTCGATAGCGTCTCATTAACGAAATAAGCCAGCATTTTCGTTCGCGACTTTTTGCGTAAGATGTAAGCGCATTTTCTTTTTTGTTAAATTCCAACAGCTTTTGTGAACTTCTGGAACTCAATCGTAGTCTAAAAAAAAGTTTAAGCGGGAGAAGTCTTGAATTCTGGGAAAGTTTTCGCAACGACCTCTTCTTTAGTGTATAAATAGCTATGAAAACGCAGTTCATTTTGCTGAAATATTTTTGAGATGCGATCACTATACTCACTTCATTCACATTTATTCAGTCACATAATTATAACATCCGCGGCAAAGCCCCGAATGACCTCCAGTCTTTTTTCTGGTGAACTGTGTTCTCTCATCGTACTCAAATGTGCCAGAACATGGCTATATGTAATGAACGTATGGAATTATTACTCCACACGTATGGCCACATCAGCTGACAAAGGAATGATACTTGGTCGAAGCGGCCTCATTAAAGGAAATGCATACTGTCTTAGAAAGAGGGGAATGGTTTCAAAATTGACTTCGATTTAGGCCCCTGTGAGAGGAGTTGCTAGAATTTTTGTGATAAAAGTTCAATAGTATGGCTTAGGTAAAAACAACTGTTGAAGTCTTTTCAGTGCCCTAAGGGAGTTATGATAAGGATGGTTTTGCCAAGCAAGGTGTCCGTTTCACGTGCTCTGTCGATCATTATTGTCTTAAACGCTTACACGATACAGTTTTGAATAATTTTATTGTTGCCGCGCGTCGAATTTTCTGCTTTAGAAACTTCCACAAATTTCTCGCATACGCTTAACAGGGAACACAGATTAGAGCCAGCTGTAGGCTTTATACGTAAATAATACTTGAAGTAAGAAGGCCACATCGACCAAGTATCCGAAATATATGACCAATTTTTACAAGTATGCTTGCGCTGTTCTAAGCTATATTCATGTTCAAAACTGATGTCACGTCTAATTATACACTGTGGGGCGCCATTATTACATCAGTAGCAAACAGCATCTATCCAATTTGCGATTGCATGTTAATCTGATGTAAAACGTTGGTCTTGATGTTACCGGAGCGCATTCAAACATTGCCACAAATAAAGCAATTTGTGAAAAGAGGTCAGAGCAGCGCTAATAATTGCAGTGCCTTTTTACATTCGGTAAATTTTCGAATTTTCACTACAAATGTTTTTGATGTGAATTTCTAACAAAACCTTATGCACAGAGCCTTAATAACTGTGCTCATACATAAGTAAATACAAACACGCATAGTTTTCGTGGTTAGAAGCAAAAGGGGGGGGGGGTCTTAGCAATCTTAAGTTTTTCAACGTGGTACTACAAACTTCAAAAACCGGTCGTATACATGCACATCGCATGATCTGTTCAAAAAATTACAAAAATAAACTTGAAAGTACGGGATAAATTACAAGTCAATTTAACACGTCAATGTATTGCAAATCAATATTTTCGCCCTTTACTGTGATCTTTACATGAGCGCCTTTCATTACAATTTTTACGCTTTTGGTTTTTCAAGCTGTAACTGTCAATGTCATTGATTGCTGTTTCACAATGAAAGATGAATTCGCGCAGTAAATCAATACGGATCGCAGCTCCCAAGTGCCTATCGAAATATAATATCAAACAACTTACTGAAGTTGCACTGCATTTTTCTTTTATTATGGAAATTCCTGCTTGGTTGAGGACTATGGTATTGGTTGGTTTGCGTACGGTCATATTGATTGTCACTTCTGCATCAATTGTCAGATTTTTCCTTTTCGGAATATCCACGTAGAACGGCAAATATACTGTGAGAACGAGCTCATATGACGCTGAAGCAGAGTCATTCAGAAGGGAACCGACAAAAAAGTAAGTTTTATGTTGCAGGTTTGTACTGAGCTGCACTATTGACATGCTGTAATTCTGATTTTTTGAAAGCGAATTAACATGCAGGGAAAAATTTCAAAGCCGTAAGACTTCAAGTATCAAACAATGTGGTACTTATTTTACTAAAAAACAAATTTTGCATCAGAAATTTGCTTTTACAGCGCGACACTTACGAAGATAGGTTATATTGAGATAAGATACCTCAGATCGGACCATAGGTGCGATAGGGGGAGCCGGGCCCTCTCCAGGTGAAGGGGGTCTCTGCTACTCCCATCCTTGTAAGGTGAAGGGGGTAAGTGAGCCCTGAGAGCAAAATGCCCCAACAAGTTACATACCATTCGAAAACTGAGGTCATATAGAATCGACGTAGACCGTCGGCTTTTTCCTAGGTCTTTTGTTCCGCGAGATTTGAGGGATTTTATGTACTTCATGTGTCAACTAATTTTGTGTCCTCACTTTCTGCTCTCCAAAAGAATGCTACGAGAAAGTCGACGGTCTACATCTGCTAATGAAGACTTGCTCTGTAACGCAGATAGATAACCAGCAGATTAGGTCTTCGTTTGGCAGAATTTGCTGTTGAAAATGAACATGATTTCAGGTAAAATGCAGTGTATCTCTCGATAGAGGGCGGCTAGAAAAAATTCGACGGTCTACGTCGAATCCCCCTTTCCTGGGCTTTCGAATGGTATATAGATTGCTGAGCGAAAAAACTTGCCAGTTTTTAAAAATGGTGTGGAGGTATTTACTATTGGCTTGCTCCACCCAGCTCCCCCAATGTATTGGCTTTTATCGGTCACCAGAGCAAGCGCTTTTTAGAGCCGTGAAGCAGAAAAGCCCTAACATGTTTCACACCGTTCGAAAGCTGAGATTATGGAGAATCGACATAGACCGTCTCTTTTTTCATAGCTTCTCTGTAGAGCGAGATACGAGCGATTTTATACGCCTACTCACCAGCTAATTTTGTGTAATTATTTTGTAATTTAGTTTTGAAAGAAAGAACAAGGATTAAAAAAAAGAGACGGTCTACGTTTACTGGCAAGGTCTTGCTCTGTGATACAGTTAGAAAATCAGGCACCTTTATCCATTCTTCACGCAGAAATTTCTCGACAAAAACACACATCTTTTTGGCTAAAATCCCGTGTAACTCTAAGTAGAGGGGAGCTAGAGAAAAAGAGACGGTCTACGTCGAATCCTTTTTTTGTGGGCTTTCTAATGGTGTACAGGTTGTCGGGTGAAAAAACTTGTGGTTTCTTAAAAATGAGGTGGAGATATTCAATAGTAACTTGCTCCACCCCGCTCCGGCTTTCTATGGGTTGCCGGAGCAAGACTTTTTTGGACTGGGAAAGCTTTGTGCACCAGCACCTTATATACCATTCGATAGATAAGAACGCGAGGAATCGACGTAGACCGTCTCTTTTTTCGTAGCTTCTCTGTGAAGCGAGATACGAGCAGTTTTATCTAGCTACAATATCAGCCAATTTTGGGTAATTATATTTTCCAACCAAGAAGGTCTTTTTCGAACTTTTATATATGAATCGAAAGCATGAAAAACGAGTAATCTGACTGTTGTTTTGTTTGTTATTATTCTCTTTAGTGAAAAGAGATATGGTATGATTTTTTGTCAGCAAACATGCATCCATCGCTAGTCGGTTCAGATTTTTTTACTCTTGCTCAACTCTTTTTTGCAAAGCATGTATTCATTGACACAATGTTAATTGTTCAAAAAATCACCTTTTACTTTTTGATTGCGCTTCGTTATCAACGCCCTTTGAGCGCGGAGAAGGTCTCAAGAATGTTTTTTTAACAAAATGTTGTTGATTCGATACTCTCTTGCAGTCTTGATGTCTGAGGAGAAGAGCAGGTGGCGTTTCTGTCCAAACGAAAGTTCCTTTGTAATAGCTGTTTGCCTTGATTAGTCTCAACCTCAGGTGAAAGGGGTCAGCCAGATGCCGGCCCTAAAGTGAAGGGGGTCAGAGAAATTTCTCCACCTATCGCATCTATGGATCGGACATAGGGTATCCTAAATCCGCGGAAGGAAGCATATTCCCTTGTGAAATGCGAGCAGCTCCACCGCTCGCTGTGACTATGTAGCCGAATGCTCGCTCTTCCGCACACTTCTTTTAGGTAAGCAGCAGTACGTAGGGTTTTTCGCGAAATTCCTTAGCATGTCCTGATGGTCTCAGGGGTTGAGCCAGAGCGCGGCATTCACAACGCACGAGCGTACGCAGTTTACGTTCCATATTATTGTGCACGTGCGCGCACCCTGCATAGGTCGAGTACGCAGCGCAGGCCTCCGATCTGAAAACGACAGCATCTTGTGCTCGTGAAATTAGGATATATATTGAAACTTTCTCTGCATCTATGTAAACTATGTAATTATTCAATGTGCAAATAGTATAGGCTGTCTCAGAATGTCAAAGCAAAATTGGTTCGGACCCTTGCGGCCGTTTCGCTTGGGCCGCGTTTGCGGTATCCACTAAGTGTTTTCTCACGCTTCGACAGCACATGTGCTACCGAGAATTAATGACCATCTTGTGTAGGACCCACGTTAAAAGCGGCAGCGAAGGCTTAAGCACTAATGTTGTGAGTACTCAGAACTTGGAAGCCTATGTATAACAAGTTGCTCAATCACGGCAGAATGTCTGAGCTACGTCGCAGATTGTACAAGGTGTCCCAAAAGTCTTTGTGCCTAACTTCTTAAAGTAAAAACTTTGTTAGTATTCCTCGCTTTTCAGTCAAATTTTTGCGTATGAGTACTTCGTTTAGTTTCTAGTTTTCCTTAAAAAACATATTTCGCGCTGTACATTCTCAAAATATTGCTTTTGGAGCAAACAATACTACGATTTTGAGGATGACCCAATGTTAAAGTACCCTTTACTCAAACCTTTATAACTATTTTGCTCTTGAAGTTTTTGAGGAAATCTAAACTGCACATTGTAAAGCTAGGCTTCACTCTATGTCTACAGTGCAAAACTATTGAACAGTCTCTATTCGTTAATGCAGGATTAAGATACAAAAAAAATTGCTGTTTCCCTGATGTTCTCAAGAAATTGATTGCTACATTTTGACACTTTTGTTGAATCTCACAGACGTGCTTCACAGAACAACGTGCTTTTAATTGCCGGCTCGAGAGCCTTTGACTTTTCTTTGTGATCAGCCATGGAAAGCAAGGTTTGCTCAGTTCCGCACCAAATTCTGGGCAGTCTAGAACGCTTGCTCTAGAAGATTCGAAACATTCTCGAAGACAATTATCCGTCTGTCGTCTTTTGTTACGGTGCATGCGTTCCGCAAAAGTGTGAGGGCTTGTGTGAAGGGTTTTTTTCGAAAACTGAGTGTACCGTATTATTTTACGAGCAGGCATCCCGGGTTTCAGTCCGGTTTGGAGCCAATCTATCAGTCTAAACTCCCCATCCTGCACACCCTGCACAGCTTGCACAACCTGCGCATCCTGCACACCCTGCACATCCTGCACATCCTGCACATCCTGCACACCCTGCACAACCTGTACCCGAATGCGCACAAATAAATTCACAGATTTTCTGCTTTATATATATAGAGATAGGTTCTTCATAATATTCCTGCAGAATTTCATGTGACAATGTTGTTTCGTACAGTTGCAGCTGAAAAAATATTAGGCTTGAAGACTTTTGGGACACCTGTATAGATGCCATGCGTGATTGCTTTGTTTGAGGATGAGGATGTGCGTAAGGGGAGTTTGCTTCATCTGTAAGCATGCTGTTACCCCCAATAACATATTTTTGCACAGCAGACGTTTCGGTTTGGTTACCGTCTCATACACTTTTTATTTCTAGACCGGTGTTTCACCTCCGCCTCATAGGCTTTGCCCATACTTCACTCGTGTTACCCGTGTTACCGGTGTTATTAGTGTTACTCGTATTACTCGTGTTACTTGTGTTACCCGGTTCCAGTGTTATCCCTGTTACTCGTGTGACTAGTGTTAGTCGTACTCACACCCAGTGAGATTGCTGAGATTGTATTGTGATCATTTCCTTATTCAACAGCATAAAAGCGGTAACACTGGTAACACTAGCAACACGAGTAACCTTGGTAACATCGGTAACACGGGTAACACGCGTAAAGTATGGGCTCGTCTCGGGTTGATTCCACTTCTTATTTTCATTCCACTCTAAGCCTAAAGCGCCCAAATCGCTTCTGCGCAGATGCTATGCTTCCGTACTTGACAATTTAGAGTCTTGCTATCCTCTAAATTCTATCTTCACCCAGATCTAGTCAGCTAGTTTCGTAAGCTCGCTGGCACTCAGAAAAGGGTTTTGAAAATAATTTAGAGAAATGCAAGATTCTAAAGCTGTTTTTTTCCTCAAAGCAATATCGCGTACTCTCATCAATATTTGTCAAATGGCAAACGCTATATCCAGTAGGCCTTAGGCTTTGGTTTGCCTATACGTTCACCATTCATCTCCTAATGCCTTGGCAAGCTGGTATCATTTTGTTCTACATGTCTGAGTTTTGTCTTTTTCTTGTTGGTGAAGCCTAATGTATCAAGACCTTATAATAACGGGCTAAGGGTTGTTTACGTGTTTTTGTGTGTGTGTCCGTCTGTTACGAAATTGGTAGAGCGTGTTCTAGCCAGCGTTCTAAGCCCAAATTTTGCACAGCGCATGCTACCTTCACGAAAGTCCAACATGCAAAAGCACGAGTAGATTCGTTGGGTGGATCCCTCAAAAATTGCGCGCCAAACGGGCCCACCTGGCTTCTGTGCCGCAAAAATGGGTCCTTATCACTACTTTTTGCAAAGTCGAGGATGTGGTTGATAAGGAAAAGTGCAAGTGATGGACTTTAGCCCGAAAAGTGGTCAAAAGGTTACTACAGAACGAAAACGGCGCCAAGAAGAATTGATTGCGTAAATGGTCAATTTGCCAGGGTTTTAGCCAAGCATTTGAGAAGATTTTCGCACAAAAATGTAGCTCACGATTACTATTGCCCTTATGGCGACTACCAAGCCATGACAACTTCAAAAACCTACTCAAATTTACGTTTGTCTCCCTGCGAAAAGTTTCATCCACGCGAAATCACCGATCTCACGTGAAAAATTTTTTAAATGAGTAGTTGTTTGCATTTTATTCGTGGTAGTCGGCATAGCGCGGTGAGTTCCAGTGCGATTTTACGAGAATGAGTAAGGTACACAAATAGCAGAGCCAGTGCGAGCCTCTGCGAAACAGGGGTGACGCTGGATAGTAAAATAAAATAGGATAAATCATCAAACATCAGAGCATGTTGTTAGAGCATTTGCCTACCTTTCTCACGTTCCTAATCGCGAAATCGCGCGCGTAGCAGATTAGCGCGCTGCAGCATGTGTAGCACACATTGGGGGACTTTTTTCGTTGCATAATTCTAGATTAAATGCGTGGAAAACTTACGCTAGGGTGATGTGTCTTGCACTTCACTTTTACGTATTTCAAACCGTTCGAAACTTGACTCATAATTCTACATAATGCCATGGCTCTGTGACCATTCTAGAATTGGCGAATTTTAAAGTTTGTGAATCTTTCAAACTTAGACCCTTGGGTTATCTGGCAGGATGGTCACAAATATCACACTCAAATAAGTAAATCTATCAACAGTATACCCACTATTGCTTTAGAAAATCGCGCGTTTTTGCAAAATCAACAGGATATTTGTGACTAGCGTCTAAAAGTGGTTGAATCGGTGATTTTGCCCGTATCCTAAGCCTTCCTTTCATAACTATACAAGAAAGATTTTCGTTTTTCAAAATGGGTAAGTTTGTTTCCTGGTCGGATCTTGTACTCTCCTTTGTCTTGCATCAGCAGAATCCCCTCAAAAATGCGATTTTCTCAGCTTAAAAAAAGCGCGAGGTTGTTCTGCCGCACTCGATGTCGCAAACCTGCATCTGCAATAATTTTCTGTCGATAGTGTATCATGTGCAGCGCGGTCAGAAATGTGTTAATCTGAGTGATTTGAAGATGGGTGGAAAACGGTACAAACTTTTGAATTGATTTGATATATTAGGTTGCTGCATAAGTTCTGTCCTATTTTTTTGCTTTATGTTTGAAGCAACTGTTCTAAGAGAATTTCATCTTTGACGCGGTACTGTTAACATCATAAGAAAGTGCTTTTCTTGCGCTTTCTAAAGCATATCAAACTCCTGTAAATTTTTAGTGTAAGGAGATTTTAGGCCAAAAATCCAAGCGACCGAGGTACGTTCTCACCCTATAAATACGTTCTCGCGAGGTAATCTCCATGTTGAGCCCTTCAGGTCAAGTCTTTTAATTGGTCGCGGAATACGGGTGTAACAGGCTAGCATACGCATAAGTTCAGATTCATGGAGAAAACGTTTTGCTAGTAAAATTTATTGTCAAACAATAATTTTCTGTATAGATTTTTACAAGTAATAACTTTCTGCGAATAGAAGTAATCGACAACTTCAAAGTTGGAGGCGCTAGGGTAAAGCAAGGACTAGCAGAGTTCATCCACCAATTTCTTTTCGGCGCTCACGTCAATTGTAATTTACATAATTCGTAAATAGGCATGCACACATCCGCTGAAGCGAGGTCAAAAAGTGACTGCTCTTTCGCTCGCTCAAGAAAATCTCTCGGTAGCGCAGAGCCTATGGGATTTTTTAGGGTGCAAAATAATCTACGAAAAGTTCTCTATCAATCCCTTTTTAGACAAGATGCCTATCAATTCTCATAAGGGAGCATTGCCATGTCAAAAAAAGACAAGTTTGAAGAAAAACGCTGTGAAGCTTTTGAGTTCTTGCTTCTTCCTTAACAAAGATTTTTGCAGGTTCAATATGTGTCTGGTTGCCAAGGATTTGCTCAACACACGGAAACTAAACAGGGAACCGTGTCGAGTCGAAGTGGCCTTTCCATATGGGACCCATACTGCTTTGAAGAGCATTAATCGTTGATTCCAATTCTGCTCTCCAAATCTGCCAAGCACCTCTGGACGCCGAGTTATGCTCGTTTTTCAGGTCAGTAAATTGAACGCAAAACTGACGCAAAATCGCCCAAATTTGCTCAAATGGTCCAATGTCAAGTACCAGAGCTGTTTATGCAATGGATACATTTTATTTATTATGCTAATACTTAACATTGCTTTATCTGAGCGCTGGAAAGATTGTAACAATCAATTCTACCTAAATTCTGCATTCATATTTCGTTCCGAAGAACGGTCATAACTCGGCGTCTAGAGGCGCTTGGCAGATTTGGAAGGCAGATTTGGCATCACCGCTTAATACTCTTCAAAGCAGTATGGGTCTCATCTGGAAAGGCCACTTTGACTCGACACGGTTTCCATTTCAACTTTTTACCTTAGTGCCTTCTCTTCTGACTTCTAAGGAAACTTCAGAACAGGTTTCTATAGAACAAAGCAAGCTCCACAGAGTGGTCTCTACATTCGCACAAAGTTTATTTTACATTAAATTGAAACTTGAAATCTCAAAACATTTAAAAGCTCAGAAAAATTCAGACTTTAGTTGAATAATTCCTAAGCAAACCTCTAGCTTGTTCACGATCTGTTCCGTTCAGCTATATAATTCATATGCACACCTTCTGTATTATAAATGGAGATAGAAGTAGTCCAAAGATAAGAAAATGTTTTTAGGACTTTTTAACGTTAAGTTTCACATTTTTTGGAAGCTATCGCTCTTATAACACACTGACGATCACACAAAGTTCTACTTGTTTGCCTTTTGCCATGTCTTTTCGCAAAGCAGTCAAATTTTTTGAAAAACCATGCATATTACCACTCGCAGTATATCTAGGGTGACTCTGGAAGGAAGACAAAAAACAAGGAGGTTGATTTTGGATCCGACGCAAAGGGTAACTCCTAAGTGAGTTCTTCCTAAAATAGTATCCTTTTTAGAATATCCAAACCTTGACACACCAGATGTGTCAAACAGTCGTCAACGTGAGATAATGGGTAAAAAGTTGTGGTTAGTATTATCACGCTACAGAATCATGGGGAAAGATTCCAGCATTGCTTTTGAAAAGTGCGAAAAATTTCTTATTTTCCAGAAGCTAAAAAAAACAAGCTATGCATATAGATGTTAGATGAAGAGTGTTCTCTTGAAAAATTTTCACGGATTTTTGCGTTTTTTCCTGAACATGATGTGAAACTTGCTTTGTAGAAATGTTTCAACGCCTTTATGTAGAGCTTGCTTTGTTTCGTTTACTAGCCTAGAAAACGACTTTTGGACCAAGTTCAAATGATGACAATGCGTCACCTCTGCGAAAGAGAGGTTCGCACCAATTCTAATGCACCCTCGCGTTTGCCCGATGATGACTTTGAAATTCATTGCGCAGTGCTGAACATCGCAAACGATTTGTAAACATCTGCTTATTTCTAATTCCTTCCATGTACAGTCGGTAACTTTGGGTGTAAGAGACTTTCTACAAAAGAACAAAAGCAGATTTGGATTAGTTACAAACATGCAAAGCTAGCTACGTTTGTGCAGCAAAGTCTTGTTGACGTTGTGTTCTCTGGAGCTGAAGTGTTGAAAGGATAATTTGGGAGACCTATAGCCAGATTGCGTTGCACTTCAAAAAAATGAAATAAAACTCCTATATTTTACACGACACCTAGTCATGAAGCGAGTATAGCAATCATGCTTACAAGGCACAAGAGTTTTTGGAAGACGGTATTCTTGTGGAAGGACATAAACATTTTTCTTCTCTATCGCTTTCGTTCCTTCGCCTTTTTGTGTTGTTGTCGTATCCCCTATTTCACCTTTTTCTGATCTGTAAGATAAAAGGTCATTAAAAAAGGCAAACAAGCTCTTCTTTGTATGTTTAATGGCCAGATCCCTTCAGGTTGCTAAGGCCTCTACCAAGAAGTTTTCGAATGTGTGTTGAAAACAGACGAGAGAGTAACTACTTATACATCTAACAGTAATGTTTCACAGTACTCAGAGTTAAACCATATTTCATGAAGTGTATAGATGCGCAGCAGTTTCTTTTAGGTGCACGCTTAGCAAGCCTGACTGCATGTCAAGTATGCTGGTCTTTGGCTAGTTTTTTGCTTTGTATGATTGATGCCGTCTATATCCTCCTTCTTCTCCCAAAGTAGCCTTCTTCTGACTGTTGTGTTTGATGTCTTAGGGGAAGTATAGTAGCTTAAATCAAAGAAACACGTAAAAGAAAACTTGAAACACACAGGTTAGCTACTGAAAGCCGAGCGTGCTTGAGCCAAAATCGTGACATTATGGTGTATCCCACAAAATATCTAAGTAATTATCGGAACACTTAATTTCTCCTACACTTGTGTCACTAACAAAAAAGATTTGCAGATTTGTCAAAACACCAATATAATGGGTTGGGCAACTTCAGTAATGTCATCAAATTTTGTTCTGCTTTATTTGAGTCAATTCCCATGGTGCTTGCCTTCAAACGCTTAAAACCAATTCGAATGGCAAACATGACAATTTTGTCACCAAAATTTGAACAGCTTGAATTGATTTGTAGTTCTAACCGCATTCTACGCAAAGCAAAAAATCAAGCGCCTTATTGAGACAGGGGAAAATATAAAAGAACATGCATTAGCTAAAAAAAACTTGCTCATATCACTCAATATTTCTATTTTGATCCCTTCACTTTTGAAAAATTGCCATCTTTTTAATCATCTTATATATAAAGCTGAATGTCTGTTTGTATGTATGTATGTATGTCTGTATGTATGTCTGTATGTATGTCTGTACGTATGTTCCGAATAGAAAATTCCATTTCTGAACCGATCCGGACCAAACTTGGCACATATACACTACGGGCCCCGGCGGGTGTCACAGGCTACTTTTCGTCATCGATCGATATCGATTTTATCGATTTTTATCGATTTTTTTGCTGAGTTCACCTACGGGGCTGGGAGTTGGCACAGGGGGGTAATCGAGCATGGGGATTCCGAATACAATATTGGTTTTCAGGATTATCGATTACTTTTATCGATTTTATCGATTTTTTTGCAAAGTTTGAGCTAGGGGGCTGGGAGTTTGCACGGGGGGGTAATCGAGCATGCAGATTCCGAATACAATATTGGTTTTCAGGATTATCGATTACTTTTATCGATTTTATCGATTTTTTTGCAAAGTTTGAGCTAGGGGGCTGGGAGTTGGCACAGGGGGGTAATCGAGCATGCTGATCACCCCCAAGGGGGGTGATCAGCATGCTCGATTACACCCCTTGCCAAATTACAGCCCCCTAGCTCAAATTTTCAAAAAATCGATAAAATCGATGAAAGTAATGGACGATCTTGAAAACTAATATTGTATTCGTAATCTGCATGCTCGATTACCCCCCTGTGCAAACTCCCAGCCCCGCAGGTCAAACTTTACAAAAAAAATCGATAGAATCAATAAAAGTAATCGATAATTCTGAAAACTAATATTGTATTCGGAATCCCCATGCTCACTTCCCCCCTGTGCCAACTCCTAGCCCTGTAGGTGAACTCTGCAAAAAAATCGATAAAAATCGGTAAAATCGACATCGATCGATAACGAAAAGTGGACTGTGACACCCGCCGGGGCCCGAAGTGTATGTGTGCCAAGTTTGGTCCGGATACGGCGGAGCCGGGTAAGCCAGCTAGTATCAGATAAAAAATGTTGTGTTTAACGATAAGTCTGAAGCCACTTTGAAGTGTCACACAACGAAAGAGCGCATATCTTTGACTTCTATAACAATCAATAATTCTAAATCTTTTTGTAACGTTTTTCATGGGCCCACACAATTTAGCTGTACGTTGGAGTTACTCTAATAATTTGTGCAGGATTTGGTCCTATTTCATAACCTTTCCCATTTCTTCTAATTCCATGTATGGCAACAAGAAATGAAAAAAGGTTTTGTCTTTGGGCCTCATCCAGATTTCTTTGGAGCTATGGAAGCTTGTTCACTGCAATTTTACTCAATCAGTTTAATCAGTTTACCGCAGAAAGTGTGAAATGGGAAGTGGGAGAATGGGGGGGGGGGTGTACGGATGGAGCCTTCAAAGGGGGAGGATCGTAGAAGAGAATCCAGATCGCATCAACACATTTGACTCTCGTTCGCACATTAACTCAGCATGTCAAGGTAAACACGACATCATCTAAGCTGGAGCAGTTTCCAGGAAGTTCCGAACCATGAAGCGTTCGCATTCTAGGTAAGAATCAAATGTAATCAATCATTTTCTCTGTACATAATTGTTCTTCAAAAAGCGAAAATGATAACAAACGCATGTAGAACAGTATCTGGAAGTCAAAACCGCTCAAACTCATTTTAGAGTTCGCTTTGCATATGTGTGTTCAAGAAGTTAGAGTGGTTACCTATCCACGAATGGTTCACTACTCAAGAAAGGTAAGAAAAGGATCAAGCTCGTTGATCACGCGTGTACAGCGTTCTTGACAATCTCACACTGAATTGATAAATATAATATCTCACACTACGACAATTCACTGTTTCTATTCAAGCACTTCTGCTGCGATCGCTCTCTTTGGTCAACATTTTTGAATTGAGCATATTTGAAGTACTTTCTCTGATTTATCAAAGTGTCTCTTTTGCAATTTTTCGTTACACATGCTTGTGCAAAATTTGTAGATCATTGAAGAACTTTTAAGTTCTTTTGGAACCAAAAACTGCAGTGGTATTCCTACACGGCCCGAAAGCCATTTTGAACTTGGATTGATGAGTTGCTAATGGGCTAAAAACTTACGTCCGCGGAGTACTTGGGAAGCATAGTAAGCATATCACTACGATGTTAACGATAACAAGAATACCAACTGTAATGCAAGCTGATACATACAACCCTTTTTTCGACCTCCTTGCTGTCTGCTCCTAGAAATATAGTCTGATTACGTGAAACGGTTGAGAACTTGAGAGTGTGGGATGTTACATAAGTCTTGCACTATAGCAACTTTATGCGCAAGTTTAAGTTATATCTCTTCTACAATCTGGAATTCTACTGCTTTACAATAAAACAATATAAACTCTCAAGATTATCTGAGTATCAAACCAACTTTGAAGTTTGGTTGCAATAAAAAAAGATCAAAACATCTGAAAAGAGAAAAAAAAAGTCTGTTCAATAAAAACCTAAAAATCTCCTACTCGTTCCCGCCTCTACATCTCACTTCAGATTTATTTGTAAATTTCCTGTTTTTTTCTTTGACTAGAAAACGAGAAAATTTTTTGTGCGTATGCCAAAGAAGTGCTGCCTTTCCACTAGTGTTAGTGTACTACAAGCCTTTGAGCCATGAATGTTTTAGTGATTATTCCTTGTTTCCTTCTCTTTTTCCATTCGGATTTATGCGTTAATATTGAGTTGTTCGCAAAATATTGAGTTGTTAATATTAATAGTTGTTAATATTGAGTTGTTCGATGCAGGTTTCTGTAAGTGCATTTTTTCAAAGCAACCGTTTACTTGTTTGCGCTTCTTACGATCAGCTTGCGCAATGCAAAATAGCTAAAAGCGCTTTCTCTGCTTTTCCTGGAACGTTTTGCTTGCCTCGAAATAGAGATTTTTTGTTACACATTGTTTTGACTTGAACTCATTCTTCAAAAAAGATGATTTTAGGATAATATAGTTAAAAATGCTGACTTGTCCTACAAAACCCATAGTAATGCCTCCTATCAATCATTGGAGCAGGGATGCTGAGATCTAAACATGATCAACAGTCGTGGCCCTCTACGCTTCCTTAAGACAAAAAACAGTTTTAATGTCTTTTTGTGCTTTACCAAAAAGACCAGAGATATTAGGAACTGCTTGACGTAGAAACTCCTAAGCTGCATTGGTAGTAAAAAAAGGGAAAATGAGAACTTAAGAAGCTTACAGTCCACAAAAATACGAATGGAAATGGTCGATTTTTTTGCGATTTCTTCTGTTTTTCAGAAGTTCCTGAAAAATTTTGAGTGGCTATTCTGCAGTTCTGGTTGTGGCTGCGCGCTATAAAAATTCCCTGCCAAATACTAATTCCTTTCAGGATTACAATTTGCTAAAAAAGAGCATGTTGAAAGGATGTGATGTATGCTTTCCCGAAGACTTCATATTGAAACTCTGCGACGAAACCCGCATCGTTTTCCGAATAACATGATACTACATATTTCTACATTTGTTACACTGGAAAGGCTTTACCGAAGATTACTATTAGGTTGATGCATAATTCCTGCACCAAAATAGGTACAGACCGCAATAATCTGCAATAATCTTATATACCAAATAGGATTCGATATATTATCAGATAGAGCAAACCTAGCTTTACAAGATAGCTCTTAAAAATTTGCACAGCTTTGGTTCAAGCGAAGATTGAAGCCAAAAATGAAAAAGATTCAAGCGCCCTCGAAAAACCAAGAAAAAATTGGAAGTTAGTTCAGAAAAATCCTTTGAATTCCCTAACTTGCTCATGCATTGTCATTTCGTATTAGACATTTCTCTATGCAGTTGCTGTATTTTTCTCTTAGCTAGAAACTGAGAAAACGAGGTTTTTCATGTTTTTCCCAAAACAATGCTGAGGTGTTCTAGCATGACAGTTGTATACTATAGGACCTTAGAAGCGTGAGTGTGAATTTTCAGCTCTTTACAGCAGCTGTTTACGAGAAATATGGAATTTTTAGCAATTAGGCAAGAAAAATTCGGAAGGAGAGCTAGATTCATCATTTCTCGTGGACTAAGTGTTCTAGAAGGCTGAAAATGTAAAGTTTCACTGCTAACGGCATTTACTATACAATTATTAGTGCTAGAATATCTCAGCACTAATTTGGCAAAAACTTAGAAAACTTCGTT